AAGTTGGGGCGTGACAAGCCACCAAGACCATGGGGAAACTGTAACATCTTACTGCCTATCCGTGGATGCTTTTTATTCCAAATGAATGACAATTCACTATTTAAATTTGTGAAGAAAGTCCTGGTGAGGAACACTGGCACGCTCTGAAATAGATAAAGTAATTTGGGCAATATTGTCATTTTGATCACGTTGATTCTACCCCCCAGGGATAGAGGCAAGTATGCTCAGTCTCTTTTTATTTAAGCCCATTCTGTTCAAGACTGTGTAGCAACCATGTAATATTTGGTTTGAGGACATAAAGTGTACTTTTCAGAATTTATGTGAATTTAAATCAATTTATCAGCGTTTTCTATTTCCTTTTTTCGACCACTTAACTACAAATCAACATGTTCAAGATTTATTTAAAGGTGCATTTCCCTCAGACTCACCTCAATGAAAGGGTCAATGTGAAGCATCAGAGCCTGAGTCCTGCTGATGATAAACTGATTGACGCAGGCGATGGCATGAGACCTGCAACACAAAAGACAACACAACATGCTGTTAAGGGTCACGGCAATATGAAAGCATCCTGTAACTTAAGGTATGTAGCAGGAAAACAAAGATTTTGTTTGTGGAAGTTTAAACCTATTTTATTATAGAAACAAATCATAATGACAATCAAATTTCAGTGTAACACACAGACAACAATCAGTGCCTTAAAAATTCAATGATTTTTCCCTCTCTCCATTTTCTCTTTACTTAAAAAAATCACTGATGAAGAAATTAAGAAACTAATATTAAGTTCTTTTTTCTACTGAAGTGATTAAAATAATTCAATGATTTTTTTTCTCTCAAGTCATTTTTTATTTCCATTTTTCTAAATCCCAATTTATGATGAAACTACATATTTTCAGCTAAAGAAATTGTCTTTATGTGGTGGATTAATAAAATTTCAACAATTCAAATGGAAAATGTTCAAGATTTTATAAAACTGAACAAAAATACAACCAAAAATTGTTCACATCAACAAAACATTTACCAATTAATTTAAGTACTTTTAAGAGGAAGAAAAAAAATTAAAAAAACATACTTTTGCCTCTTTGGTATAAAAAGTTCTTGATAAATGTGTTTTATGAGAACAAAACACAGCTCCTCTGTAAAATAAAAGTGCTTCATATATAACTTCACTCTCTATGTGATCATTTTTAAATTAAATGTAGTCTACTGTGCTTTATTTAACTCACTCATACCCAGTCTTTCTGTATCTGTTCTTTCATACACATATTTATCTTTCCATCAGCATTGACCTGCTTCATTATTTATTTGAATTCTTTCATACAGCTACCAGATCTTTAATAAACCCACGCCTTGCTTCTGTTGATGTGTTTGTATGTGGAACGGTTTATGAAAAGCTAACACCAGCTTAATTCCTCTTTGTGTCTATGCAACTAACTTTTAGAGTTGCTTTCTCAAAACCATTGACACAGGTGTCACTGTAAAGTGTAACAGTCTTGGTGTCAAAACCACTATATATTTTTCCACCATACCATTCCTGTGGTTTAAATCCTCTTTAAATGAGGTAACAGAAACACAACATACTGTTTTATTTCTTCTTCTTTAGTTTTAAAAAGCGCTGAACAATGTTGCTCTGAGAAGTCATTCAGCTGCAGTCAAAGGCGAATTTCCCAAAATTGTTATGCTCTGTAACTAAACAGTGTTACAGGTATTTTATAAATACATATATATTTTTGATCTGCCAGTCATGTGTGTGGACAAAAATCCTGCTGAGATTTAGTAAACAAAAAATGTAACTTATTTACATTTTAAATTGAATCCTTTTGAATACATTAAAATTTCAGCCTTAAATCTCAAAGTTCTTTTAGAAAACACCTCAGTCTAGGACTGAAGACACTTCTGATGCCTTGGTGTTACTTCTGAATGAACCGAGGTGAGGAAGATGAGTCAAAGTCAGCCCGACCCTGATGACCCTTAGAGCTGAGAGGCAAAGTAGTAACAGAGATGAAACGATCGGATCAACTTGTTAAAAAGGTAAGCTGGCACCGCAGTGCAAAACTGTAAATAAGTGATGTCCTGATGCATCTCAGTAATCCAGGTAAAAAATCTAAAAGAAAAAAATTGTATCGGTCTTCTGGACGGGTTCTTCTCTAATGAAACGTTTCGTCTCTCCTCCAAGAGACTTCTTC